ATTTTCCTTTTTCTCACAAAAAGAGTGTTATCAATTGTTCCTTTTGAAAAGCCATTTTCAACAAGAAAACTAGAGAGGCGAGCATACCAAGCTCTAGGAGCTTGTTTCAACCCATATAAAGCTTTTTGAACCCGGTAAACATGATTAGGAAAAACATGATCTATGAAACCGGGGGGTTGCTCAACATATACTTCCTCTTCTATAAAACCATTTAAAAAGTTACTTTTAACATTCATTTGAAATAATTTGAAATTTTTAAAGCTAGCAAATACCAAAAACATCCTAATAGATTCCAACCTTGCAACCGGTGCAAAGGTTTCATCATAGTCTATGCCCTCCTCTTGATTGTATCCTTGGGCAACCAAACGAGCTTTATTTCTAGTAACAATGCCATGTTCATCAAGTTTGTTTCTAAAAACCCATTTAGTACCAATAACACTAGCATTGTTAGGTCTAGGAACTAATTTCCAAACATCATTTCTTCGAAAATTATTTAGTTCTTCATGCATAGCCAAAACCAAAAATTCATCATTTAAAGCATCATTAACCTTTTTAGGTTCTAGTTGAGATAAGAAGGCAACATTACCACACTCACTCAAAGCTTTTGAGCGAGTAACAACTCCTTGTGAAGGGCTCCCAATTATTTGTTCCTTTGGATGGTTTGATGCGAATTTCCAAGCTTTAGGAAGTTCAACTTGTTCATGAGCATTGGAGCTATCCACATCCTTTTGAGCTTCTATAGAAGGAGTATCATTGATTTGCAATAAGTCCAATCCTCCCTCAACATCATCATCATCATCTTTCCTAGGTAAAACAACTTGAGAACCAACATTAGTCTCATCAAAAGTAACGTTTATAGATTCTTCAACAACGAGACTTCGTTTATTGAAGACCCTATAAGCCTTACTTCGAGGTGCATAACCTAAGAAAATACCAACATCAATTTTAGAATCAAATTTATCATGGTGATCTTTTATATTTAAAATAAAACATTTACAACCAAAGATACGAAAATAACCAATAAAAGGAGTTTTTCCATAAAATAGTTCATAAGGAGTTTTCTTAAGCTTTGGTCTAATCAAAACACGATTTAAAACATGACAAGCCGTATTGACGGCTTCGGCCCAAAAATATTTTGGCAAATTAAATGAATTTAGTATAGTGCGTGCCATCTCTTGTATGGTGCGGTTTTTCCGTTCAACAACACCATTTTGTTGTGGTGTTCTAGGAGCGAAAAACATGTGAGTTATACCATGATGAGCACAAAAATCATAGAAAAATTCATTTTGAAATTCACCACCATGATCACTTCTTATTTTAACAACTTTCAAATCATTTTCATTTTCAATTCTTTTGACATGATTAGAAAATTCTTCAAAACAATCATTTTTATTTGCAAGAAATATTGTCCATGTAAAACGAGAAAAATCATCAATAATCACAAAAACATAGTGTTTGCCTCCAAGAGAGGTAACACGCATAGGACCAAACAAATCAAGATGAAGTAATTGCAAAGGTTTAGAAGTCGATACCTCATTGATGGATTTGAAAGAAGATTTTGTTTGTTTACCTTTGGCACAATCCTCACATATGGTATCTTTGATGAAATGCAAGCTAGGTAACCCTTTTAAAAGATTTCTCTTAGACAATTTTGATATCAATTCCATATTAGCATGTCCAAGTCTCTTGTGCCAAATCCAAGGGTTTTCATCAATAGCCGCAAGGCACTTCACATCTTGATTCACTAGTTCATTCATCTCAAAAATGTAAACATTAGACTTGCGATTTGCAACAAAAACAATTTTTCCATCCATACTAATAATGCATTTATCCGGTTTAAAAGAAATATCAAAACCTTTATCACTCAATTGACTAATACTAAGAAGATTATGACAAAAATATATACATTAGATTTGCGATTAGCAATAAAAACAAATTTTTCATTCATACTAATGATGCATTTATCCGGTTTAAAGGAAATATCAAAACCTTTATCACTAAATTGGCTAATGCTAAGAAGATTATGATTCAAACCATTTACCAAATAAACATCTTCTATAACGGGTGAGGGTTTCTTACCAATAGAACCAACACCAATGATTTTACCTTTCTCACCACCGTCGAAGGAGACATTACCTCCTTCAATCCTTGATAGGGTTGCAAATAACTCTTTGTTGCCCGTCATATAATATGAGCAACCACTATCAAGGTACCACATCTCCTTACATCGTTGCCGTGATGTTCCCTACAAGAGATGAAGATGAAGATGTAGTAACTTTTGGTACCCAAGTCTTGGGTCTTTGGTGGTTAGTAGTCTTGGTACCTTTGGGTACCCATATCATTCCATAAAAGTCATGGTTGTCTTTAATCCTACAATGAGTAGAAATGTGTCCATGTTTCATACAATATGTGCACACAAAATTTCTCTTGTGTGTATGAGCATGAGATCTATGAAATCTTTTTCTACCATGATGATTATAATTATCATAAGCATGAGTGGGTCTAATCCTACCACCCTTAATTTCTAGTCTCTCAATCTTTGATCTTAATTGTTTATTCTCAAAATCGAGATCTCCTAGCAATTCATCTTTTAGTGCAAGAGAGGTTGTTAATTGTTCAAGCTTGATATCACAAGAAGCATGCAATTTTTTAAAAGAAGAGTATTCTTTTGACATTCTCTTAAATTCAAAGTTTAATTCTTCTAGAGCCGTAGCTATGTCACATTGCATGTAGAAAGATTCACTTTTGGTCTCGGATATTACCTCATGTTCATTTGCCATGAAACAAATGTTGGGGTCATGAAGAGCAAGTTTGGCTCCTTCTTCATTACTATCCGAATCACTTGGTTCGGATTCTTCCCATCCGGCATACATAGCCTTCTTCTTCTTGTACTTCATGTACTTTTCCTTGAGCTTGGGGCAATCCTTAGCGATGTGACCCGGTTCATTGCACTCAAAACATTTACCTACACGAGAGGAAAACTTGTTGTTAGATCGAGGGTTAAATTTTTTGTTCATTTTTATAAGTCTAGAGATTCTTCTAGAGAGATGAGCCACTTCTCTAGAAAAATCGACTTCACTCTCCGACGACGAAGATGAGTTGTCACTAGCTCCTTTGAGAGCTATGGTCTTCAACTTTGGTGACGGCTCCTCAACTTCTCGTGATGGCACTTCCTCCTTCTCCTTCCCCTTGAGCTTCTTCTCATGCACTTTGAGCTTTCCGATGAGGCTATCAAGAGCTAAGGTAGTGAGGTCATGAGCTTCCTCAATGGCCGTAGCCTTGGGCTCCCATGCCGGAGTCAATGAGCGAAGTATCTTGTAGTTCATCTCTTGAATGGATAATTGCTTATCTAGACCATGTAATTCATTGATGATATTAGTAAAACGAGAAAACATAGCATCAATGGATTCATTTGGAAGCATTTTAAATAGCTCATAATCATGCATGAGTCCACTAATCTTAGATTCCTTAACTTGGGGTGTTCCTTCATGTGTGACACATAATTTTTGCCAAATTTCGTATGCGGTTGCACACGTGGAAACCCTATTGTATTCATTGGGGGAAAGACCACAGATTAAGGCGTTCATGGCCTTAGCATTGAGATTGGCAAGGTGCCTTTCATCATCGGACATGTTCTCAACTTTGGACTTCTCTACATATTTCTTTTCTATAAGCCCTAGGATGTCAAGATCAATGCAACGAAGGTAAATTCTCATCCTAGCCTTCCAATAAGCAAAATTGGTCCCTGTGAAGAGAGGTGGTCTAGTGGTGGATTGTCCTTCCAACATATGCATATTCAAAGAGGCCTCCATTAGATCTTTTCTCTAAGGTTGTTAAACCAAAAACTGATATAGAGACCAAGGATAGTAGAAATGGTGTAAGACTCTCTCTTTACAACGTCCCTATGGCAAAGAGAAAGAGCACACTGAAGCTGGGAAGTGAACACACAAAAACACAGAAAGAACAGGTTTGAAAATTTTGCTCAGTGAAAACAACGTCTTTGGTTTTTGTAAAAGCTGGGACACTGAGGAAGAAGAAGAGGTTGAGTTTAAATTGGAGAAAAACAACTGTTTAAACCCATCCCTTAATCCCCCAAAATCTGGAACCAAATGTCGCTGAGATCTGTACTGAGCGGCGCCGAAAAAAGGACACAATTTACCGTTTGAAAAGCTTGGCGGTCGACCGACGAAATTTCCGGTCGACCGCGATCCAGATCCGAAACTGAGAATCGAGCAGAGACTTCTTCGGTCGACCGGTGCGGTCGACCGATGGAAATTTTGAGCTCTCGGTCGACCGTACCGGTCGACCGACAAACTCTCTGCTGCCCACTGACGAATGAACACAGGTACGGTCGACCGGTGCGGTCGACCGCATTCTAATACATTCCAAAAAACTGATTTTGACTCACTTTAAAATATTTGTAAAATATTTATTTGACCTCTAGAAATTACGAACATTTGTAAGATGTTTTTAATACTAAAAACAAACTGTTTGGAAAAAGAATTTTGCAGATAGGTTCTCATACTTGTGAAAAATAGTATTTTATGAAAAACACTGAAAAACATGAGTATGAAAACATGTGTGATATCCCAATGGCTTCAAGTGAAATCAATAACTCTTTGCCTACATTTTAGCACTAGAGAGAAAAATAAAAACTAGCTAATATCCTCCTATAGAATGCAATTCTTGAGCTTTGATATAGCTTGAGTTGGATGAAGCTTTTATTTGAATTTGTTATTCTTGAAATAACGTTGCTTCATCACTATGCCTCCTCCTCCTTTGGATATCATCGTTGTAGCGCATATTCCATCCAATCCTCCATTTGTGGCACTAACAAGCTTGATATATGAATTCACTACATTTGTACTCAATAAGCCATTAGTACCGATAGTGGTTGTTGTAAAACATCATCAAAACATAAGGGCTAACAGTATATAGGTTTGAAAGAGCTAATTTCCGTATATACAGAAATTGTTATGAAAACACACTCGGGTTAATGTATGTTGTCAGTAGACAGGAGCAGATGCTTGGTTGGAACTATTCTGTCAAAGGTTTTGCCTGCAACATTTTCAACCCTGACATCATTTTCCAAAATGATTTGGCGGAGTGAGCAGCCATCCACTAGAAAATCACATATCACATCTCAGCCATTTGCCAAAGGTCTTTTATGTAGCGATATTCCTGTTGTTTGGCTCAGAAACTGTGGCAAGCAGGTCTATTTAGGTGAGGATTTGACGCATTAAGTGAGGATTGAAGCACTTGTATTTGCTCTGATTCGTTCAAGCATTAAGTGAGGATTGAAGCACTTGTATTTGCTCTGATTCGTTCAATTTAATTTATGTTTGTGTTTTTCAGGAGGATTTGACACTGCTCACGCTGTATTTGCTCTGATTCGTTCAATTTAATTTATGTTTGTGTTTTTCAGGAGGATTTGACACTGCTCACGCTGCTGCAAGGTTCTTTTTTTTGTTTGATTGGGGCTCCAGATTGATCCTTTTTCATGTAGCTATATTATAATCACTGGAAAGTCATGAATTTGTTATTTTTATTTATGTTCAGGGCATATGATCGTGCTGCAATAAAGTTTCGAGGAGTTGTTGCTGATAGCAACTTCAATCTAAGTGCTAGGTTGTTTGCTGTTTGAATGGGAGGGAACTTGCTTGTTGGGTATATTGACTATGGTTGAATTTGTTTCAGATGAAGAACTTGACCAAGGAGGAATTTGTTCACATACTTCGTCGACAGAGCACTGGGTTTTCAATAGGAAGCTCAAAATACCGAGGGGTTACTCTTCATAAATGTGGGCGATGGGAGGCTCGGATGGGCCAATTCCTTGGCAATAAGTATGAATCTCTCTCCTTTACTTTTTTCTTGGGAATTTGTAGAATCGATTCAATATCTTACTTCTTTATCGTGCTGTCTGTATTGTGTGTGAATCACTCGAGAGTAAGGGTGAGTTGTGTAGAGTGGCCTCATGGGAATGGTGAGTAAGGCTAAAAGAGAAGGTTGGAAAGCCCAAGTTTACCGATGAGAACCTGATGCTTGCATGCAGGTACATATACCTTGGGTTATTCGACAACGAAATAGAAGCTGCAAGGTCCTACAAGAGATATGGATTTGTTTAGTTGTTGCGGTGAATTTCTTTAAAGTTCAGTTTTTATGGGTCTCAGAGCATGCTAGTTGGTCAGGATGCTTTTATTTAAGATTATTCAAGCTGCTTTGGCTGCTGTTGGAGCCCCAGACAACCTGGTTCATGTGATAACAGGGTGTGTGTTACGACATTCTGATTTTCGTTCTATTCACTGCATTTTAGTAACTTTAATTGGTTAAGGATCATTACATTTTCTTTTACTATTTTCATTGGCAGGTTTGCAGAAACAGGACAAGCTCTTGTTTTGTCAGTTGACAAAATAATTTTTGTTGGATCACCTGGTGTGGGGAAAATGGTACATGTTACATGTTGACTGCTATTTTTCTCAGTGCCACATTTTATGCTTTGGACGGTCTTTATGTACTTTTATGATTGACTACTTGCACTAAAAAATATGAATTTTACTTAATAAGATAATATTTTCTTAATTGATATTTCTTAATTATGTGATTTTTTTAAATTTTTCAGGCTATCCACGCAAGATTAGGAGAGGTGTGGTAGCTCGAGTATTCTTTTGACAATGATTAGAGATGAAAGAATGTGTCTTCCCCAAACTTTTATTTTAATTTGTTATAAATAGTTTCATGTATTTTTCTTTGGAACAATTAGGATATTAACTCTTGTTATTAGTATTGAATATTTGAGGATGGTGAAATTTTATTTATTGATGTTATTAATGAATGGAATTTTTATTTTTCCTTTTATTCATTATTGGGTATTTTTAATATATTTGTGTTGTGAATCTTAGTGTCAGGTTGAGAATAATATGATAGTTGCCTATGAATGGTAAAATTATTATTAATGTATATTAGAAATTTGTAGTCTACAATGATGGTTTTATAAACCGTATTTTGTTCATTAACGAAGGGAAAGCAACGTCGTTAATGGGTTACTAATTACCCATTATGAGGACTTTTACTACGGTATCCAACCGTCATTAATTAGTCTTCAATGACGGGAAAATATCACCATAACTAATGGTAACGACGAAAAAATATCCCCGTTACTAATGGTAACGACGAGAAAATATTTCTGTCACTGATAGTAACGACGGTGATAATTACCGTCGTAAATATTAACGACGGTAATATGTTCTGTCGTTATAGACTCTATAACGACGGGTAGTATATCCCTTCGTGACCCTTTAGCGAAGAGGGCTTCAACAACGGGCGACGAAGGGGTTTTTCCCCGTCGTTAGCATACAATAACGAAGGTTTTCAGCTCTTTAACGAAGGGAAATCCCTTCGTTAAAGATGTAATTTCTTGTAGTGCATGTCGAGCTTGCTTTGCAATAAAGTAAACAAATCATGCTTCAATGGCTTAGTAAGTTTGCCGGCTGCCTAATCTTATGATTTCACAAACTCGAACTCAACTTCCCTTTTCTTCATTTGATCTCAGATAAAATAATATCGAGTATTGATATGATTGCTACTTTTATGAAACACTAGAATTTTCAAGAGTGCAATAGTTGACCTGTTATCAACTTTGCTTCCACCATCCTTCTTGAATAAATTTGACTCCACATTCAACAAGAGTACTCACAGAATTGTTATCCTTCATATTAAACTTATCAAGAATTGTATTTGCATATCCCTCATGAGAGATAAAAACTCCATCTCGGTCTTGCTTCACCTCAATGCCAAGATAATAAGACATGAGTTTGATGTTTGTCATCTTGAACTCACGAACCATGGAGTTTTAAACTCTTTGAACATGTGTGGATTGATTCTTGTAAAGACTTAATCATCTACATACAAGCATACAATAAGAATATCTTGATCTTCAATTCCCTTGGTATATAAAACATGCTCATAAGGACATTTAGAAAAATTATGAGCTCCAAAGTATTTATCAATTCTGCTCTTCCAAGCTCATGACGCTTGTTTCAACCCATAAAGAACATTCTTCAACCTTAAAACACATTTCATTCTTTGTCACGACCCCAATTTCTGAGCTAAAAGGGAATATTGGAGCCAGACTAAACCTGTGGAAAAAATCCTCCAAAAATACATATTCATTAAAAAGACCATCACAATTATCTCTTCAATGAACTAAAACCAGCAATAAATATTCTCTATAATTCCAAAAGTCAATACTAATCCAATTAACTTGATAAAAACAATTATTCCTCAAATTGAAATAAAACTCGACCTAAAGGAAAGAATCTTATTATTACAAAACTTTCAATTCATCAACTAAACATCAAAGACTTTATTTAACCTTCACCTAGAAGACAATAATAATCTCGAATTATATTCCTTGCTCTGTTCAAAAAATTTAACAAATCCTCAATTCCACCTAATCCCGAGTCTCTTAAAAGAATATAAACAACACAATGAGTTCACAACTCAATAAGTGGATAAATTCATACATTAGACACCAATTTTGCAAAACTAAAATAAATTGATTCATAAACAAAATACCAAAATAGTAAAAATTATCATGCAACATTTTCAAAATATATACATGCAATGGAAATAAGCAGGTCACGTCTTAATATGGTCAACACTTTGATACTCCGGTTGACTTGGTAAACCCCACTATTATATAGCCCGTGGTCGGGATGGTGAGACCCAAACTTGGGCTCTTAGCGCTAAAATAAAAACCTCATAGAGGCACATTGAGCCCTATTTTAATAACTTGCTTATATCCGTCATATACTAGTATATTAACCTGAGATGCATATGCTTTAAGAAAATTAAACAAAGTTTATAAAACTAAATACGTTATACAAAAATGTTAAAGGTCAACAAATAGTAAAATCAATCAACCACATATGCATCTCAACCTACTACTATATGAAAAGACATAACAATTGACAAAGAAAATAAGCATAGGCTTATACCAAATATCCATGTGCGTCACCTCAGAATCAACATTTAACATGTGAGTAAATCATACAAAAGGATATAATCCATAGAAATAAATTCGCATATAATTAATATAATTTTATATGAAAATTACGCAGTTCACAATGTATGAATTCACCACTTACACAAACCCAACGAAAAACTGCCAAAATACCACTCCCGTCGCCTCCTCCCACTCGAGCCCCTAAAGAATACATATAAATAACCATCAATGCTACTATATACCTTAAGGCTCAAGCGTCTATTAGAATAATCAATACATAGGCTAATAATACATTTTTCAATTTAACATATAATCTAAAATCAACCAAAATATCCTACTGTGACCTATAGTCCGCAGTCAAATACTACGTGCATCTATGATGTACCATCTGTAGCTTATGGATTTATATAATATAAATCATGGTTATGTGCTAAGATGAAAACATAAAGTAAAATACTAAAATGAAAATAAAAGGGAGTAGGACCAACTTGTTGGCCTTCTTGTTTTGATGATGATTTAACAAACAATTTATATCTAATATTATTTGTCTAGTGTTTGTATTTTGTATTCATTGTAGACAAACAATATGTTAGAGGTTGGCGGAATTGTGGTATGAAGCCTACGTAATTCAAGTTAAAGATTCAAGTTCAAGCTTCATCCGCAAGTGTACCAAGTCAAGCTTATTGAAGATCAAGATTGCTTAGGTAGCATTTAGTTTAGGTGTTATATTATGTGTTTTGGTACTTTAAGCTCAATATAATATGCACACACATTTTATTGATTTCTTTGTATATATATATAGTTATATATATATACATAAGTTAAGTTTTTGTTTCTATGTATATTTAGTTATATATATACATACATGGTTTTGAGTTTTCAAGTTTTAATATGAAACAATTGAATATAATTAGAAAACATATTTTTGTTTCATACTTACATGCATATATATGATTTCATTAATATTAATTTTATTAAGTTCAATGAAATCATGTTTTTGTGCATTATATATGTATTTTGATAAAATACTATACTCATTGTTTATAGACTTCATAACAATACTTTAAATCTTTGTTCAAGTCTATAAAATTATTTTGTATTGTTTCAAAACATGGTTAAGCTAAAATGTTATAACTCATATGTTCACATTTTCATGTTTTGGACTATTTTGCAAAATAATGATATTTTTTATTTGAGAGATCCTTTCTAAAAACCAGTTTTTGTAGCATGTATATTATCATGTCTACAATCATTTTTCAAAGTTTTATATTTTTTAGAATTTATTTGATATTTTTAAACAGGGTTTTAAAATCAAAAAACTGTTTCAAACCTGTCTAATTGCATATCTCTGTTTACGGTCGACCGCCACGGTCGATCGCCCAAGAGTCCAGAGACTCAGTATGTTTCTTGATGGCAAGCAGTTGATCGTGGCGGTCGATCGGATGCAGTCCAGAAAGTTTCGTGGTCGACCGCCACGGTCGACCGTCTGTTGTCCAGAGCCAAACCCTGGCCTTTTTGCTGCTCGCGGTCGATCGCGAGTTTTCCACGGTCGACCGCCGAACTATCCGTTAGACTCCAACAGCTATTTTTTGAGCTATTTTTCTGGGGGCTTTGTTGTTATTTTGTTTGGGTTTTTGCTGAAGTTTTGAGTGGGTATAAATAC